TTGGTATAATGTTATCTTTCAATTATTTTTTGAAGGAGCAAGAAAATAAAATGTTTTAATTTTATTTCCATTTTTTTTTTTATGTACTCTACATAGTTCAAACCAAGATCTGAGTATTTCCCAAATAGGAGAATGTGTATGCTGAAAGGACAAGAAAGATGTGATTTATCTTATTGTGTCTCTTACTTTTCTGCATTTGACTGTAAAACTACAGTTGCTTATATTCTGCTTACTTCTGCTCATTGATTCAAAATATTTTTACACACTTTGTTATATATGTGTACAATATGCTCAATACAAACAAAGAGGCAGATCAAATCTCTGAACAGTACTTAGGTTTAAAATAACAATGTTTATACTTTAAGCAAACAGGTCTGTAGCTTTACAATGAAAAGGAAAGCTTATAAACTATGCAATATTTAACAACAAAAAAATATCTGCAAAGGATTTAGAATAAAGTTAGCCTGAAAATTATTGTGAAGATGTAAGAATAGACTTTTGAATGTTTATCAGTCTATAAATATGGCTTCCTTACAAAACATGCTTTGAATATCATATGTTCTAATTGACAAATATGTAACTCCTCCCTATAAAATTTTTTTTATTTTTAGGTTTTATATTTTCTAGTAGTCCTTAGTAAAGTATTCTTTTCAATTCACCATGTTGGTAAAGAAATGGCCATTATGCCAATATACAAGTCTTGTAATCATCCAGATTTTTCTTTGTGACTAAGCCAAATGTCTGGGTAACTTTTTAATCAAATGTTTTTTTTTCTTTACTTGTATTTATATTCTTAGTTCTTTGCTAGAAATAGATATCAACTTGGTTAGGCTATTTTAAATAGAGATATCTATCAAAGTACATCAAGGAAGTGTAATATTATTAGAGCCCTCATTTCTCTTTTGTTGATAACTTTGTATTTCAATCCAGTGTTTTGCATACTTTTCATTTGTTAAAACTTCCAACAGTAATCAGTCATTTTCCTTTTTTTTTTCCTCTAGATTTATTTATATATAAATATATTGTTTGTTTGTTTTGTTCATGGCTTCCTCAACTTTGATCTTCACTTCACTTCTTTAAAGAGGAAATAAATACATTGACAAATATTACATTGACTTTCATTTTGAGTCTAGTTAAAAGATTACGTTGTGAGCTGTTTACACTTTTTTCTTGTTTTTTTTTGTTTTCTCAATTTATTATCAATATTCACATTTTAATCATTTTCTCAGACTTAAAGTGTTTTATTTTTTTTTTTATGGTTCTCAAACTGTTGTTAAAAGTATTTGAATTCAATGTTTTCTTTTTCTATGCTCTATACAAATGATGACAGTATTTATTCTTCAGTTTCTTGTTTCATTATGAAATGCTTGATTCACTTTTCCAAGGCTGTGTCAGTGTTATTTCCCTTTTTTTTAAAATGTGTATTGATGTAAAATGGTTCAGGGAATGACTGTGCTGTGCTGTGCTGTAGGTCATTCATACAATTGTGTTGTTGTTTTTTTTATATTTTTGTAGACCCCATGTTACTGTATTAGTTCTTAATGCCTGCAACCAAAAACAATTGTAAATTATATCTTGATGAGATCTACAGTTTGCTGTATAGTTTTTTAAGCTAGATAGTCTTTTACAAGTAAATGGCTGTCTGTTCATTCAGTATGCAGGCAGGACTATTAGTTTGCCATCTCGATTGTCCCGGTTTCATATTTGCCTGTTGCCTATCTCCTGTCGACCTGCTTGAGGTTTGGACTAGGAAGTAGACTATCTTCAACTCTTTTAGTAACATCTGAAACATGTCAAACATTTTAAAATAAACAAGCTGACAATGTCTGTAATGAACAGTCTATTTATATAAAGTTGACATCAAATAAATGAAAATTGTTGTTCACAATTACCCCCCCCCCCCCCCCCCTTTTATTTTTTAAATATTAAGTAAAATACAGGACAAATAGTTGTTTGTTTTTTTATGAAAGTGAGATTTTGAAAAATATTTTAGATGTAAGACACTTGTAAGACAATGATAATCATGGTATCTTTAGTTTGTTTACATGTAAGTTAAGGTCTCCTTGATTCCTTGAGTACATTCACAACCTGAGCTAATGTAACAGCTTGGGGAGTTGGGGGTGGGAGAAGGAATGGAGATCATGAATAAAACTGCCATGCTAAGTTGTTCTTTATTTGACCTCAGTGGCTATATATATATATATATATATATATATATGTGTGTGTTTATTCTGTATAATTGATATGGAGCTTAGCTTATATAAATGCTGGTGATAATGATAAAAACATTGTAGTCAAACCTTGTTATATTCTTATTTTAAAAAGCATATTGAAATATAACAGCACTAGCTAGTCGGACCATAGCTGTGTTGTTATTTATTTTCATTAGTGCATATTTCTGCATATTTTGTTTATTGCCTTAGCTAGAAAGGAAGATGCAAGAAGAGAATTTTATGGAGGACAAAAGAAATTATAAAGATCTTATAATGTTATAAGAGAACTATTCTTGTGCAAGATCTTATAATGTGTGAAGATAATAAGAGAACTATTCTTGTGCTCTACCTTCTCTGGATTTAAAACAAAATCTATTCTTGTGACTCTTAACTACCAAGGGAATAGAGTTGATGCATATCCCAAGTCACAGCGCTCACTAACAATTCCTGTTTTATTTAACTTGTGGTTTATTTGGCAAAGCTTGCTGGGCTATCTATATAGGTGGGCTTGAGTTCAAATCCACTTGATCTGAGTTGTGTTTGCTGAGCACCCATGGCAGCACAGAAACCTTCTCCCAACTACATTCCCCTCCCCCCCCTTTTACTATCCACAAAAAAAAAATGAAATCAGAGCTGAACCTACAAGTTTACAGGTATTATTAATGAAGCTATGTTCTATAGAGCAAACTGAGGCTGTACTGCATTAGAAAAGTCTTAAGTGCTTAACAGAATTATTTCAATGAACAAACTTAGCTTAGAGCTGCCCTCTGTGTTGTTTGAACATACACCAATGTTGTTTTGTCTTTCTTGCTGGTACTTAACGAAATTTGTTCCTGTTCATGCCGGTTGAAACCTTATTTTGTATTCCACTTTTTTTTTTGTTCCATATTTTAAAGTTCTATTTTTGTGTGTGACCTTTTACCTCTTTTTATAAATTTAACATTTATATTTTGATTTCTGTCAGTTTTGTTTTAACTATGTTATTGTATTCAGTTCAGTTCCGTTGTCAGAAGATTATTTGATTTTACACTAAGATTTAACTTGATTGAGATAGAAATATTAGTCTATATAAATTTGTATGAATAAGGGTCATTTATAAAGGCTTGTCTTCAAGTCCGAAGATTAGTGAGGAATGCAGTGCATCCTGTGGCTGCGCACCCTCAGTTGTGACCTACATATTTTTCCTCATCCAGGGCAAGCATAACCATTGCCTGCAGGTGGTCGATTAAATTTTCTTTTTGCCGTCTGCGTCTGTCCTATGCAGTGGATTTTCTTTTGGTTTCAAATGTGTATCCCACAGCCTTTGTGAGTGACCTCCAGCTGTCTCGTTCTGAGGCCGCATGCAACCAGGTGCCCTCTTCTATCTCAGCTAAGGCAAGTTGGTGCCTAAGCTGGTCTTTGAAGCGTTTCCGTGGGGTACCTCTGTTACAAAAAATACTGCCTTTGGCATATGTCTCCCATACAGGATACGTGACCTGCCCAGCGTAATTGTCGAACCATAAGAACTCCCTCTATACTGTCCATACCAGTGTTTGCAAGGACATCGCTGTTTGTAGTGCAGTCTTGCCACCGTATGTCCATGATGGAGTGCAAGCATCTTTGGTGAAAGCGTTCAAGAAGTCTTAGTAGCTTTCTGTTAAGTATCCATGTCTCAGATCCATATAGAAGGGTTGAGAGACATTGCCTGATAGACATTGATTTTGTAGCAGACAGAGTGATTTATACAACAAACTAAAGGGAAGGCTATAAAGTCAAGTTCCAAAAAAATGTGTTCCATATAAACTGCCTTCTGGCTTCCCTTTGGTATAGATTTCTTACATGTATTGTTTAATACAGTATTTTTGATATTTTAGAAAGAAACATTATTTCTTTTAACAAATGCTTTGTTTTTCATGTTTTGCAAGTTTAGACTGCTGTAGGAAATGCTTTATTTTGAGTATGAAAAGCTTCAAATCTACCCATCCAATTAATTTTTTCTTTAGTTTTTTGCTGAGAATTCTGTTTTTATTTTCTTAAATTTGAGTGTATGTTGTAGCCTTTACAGTTGAGTGCTGAATGCCAGTGTTCATTTATTGATTTCTCTGTACTGTCTATACATCTCCTTTCACTGTTGTCTTGGTGCTAGAGTAGAACCACGACTTGGTTTGTTTCATCAGTTGGTCAAAAGTAATAATAAAGACTTGTTAGAACACAAGACTGCTGTTAGTAGTTTGTTATAAAACAGCTAAACAGCACTAACCATGAAATATTAAATTGCCTGTTACCATTCAGTGTTGTAAAGCACCGTATGTCCTATGGTCATGATTAATTTTGTTTTTCTTTGAGTATAATACAAGCCTGTCCCATTGGCTGTTCTCAATATTACAGATTAGCTTTTAAAAATATAGACTCGTAGCAAAATGAAAAGGGAAAATTATCTATTAATATTGTGTTGTGGTCATCTAACATTATAAACCATCCTGTACAGTAATGTTAGATCTTCTTTGGTTGCTGTTTTTTTTTTTTATTTATGAAAGGTGAATTTGTTGATGACACATTTATGAAATTTTTTTTACCCTTAGATATGGCATCAAAATATACTAAAAATATTTGTTTCCAATTGGTTAGAATGTTAGTAAGACTGTTTGACCATAGCAAGTTTGTTGTGCTTTTCAATACTCATTATGATTAGGCATTAAAATTTTTAAACAACTTTTAAATTACACGTTTTTGACGGTTGAATTAATTTCAAAATTTTATTTCTGTGTTGCTAAAAATAAATTATAAAAAATATTCTGGCTGCATCTACTGTTTAGCATTTAGAGTGGATAGAACTTGAAAATAATAATTGTGTTTTAGATACGATATATTTTACTGTTTAGCATTTAAAGTGGACAGAACTTGAAAATAATAATTGTGTTTCAGATGAACTGATTACCCACTAGAATAATTAGAATAAAAATGTAACCATAAGTTTATTCACATATTCAGATATTTCTTGAGTTCTAATAGCCCCTCCCCTTCCTTGACATCACTACAGCAGCCATCCTAATTCAAAAAAAGTTATAATTATGCACCATTGTAAAGTCATGTCAACTGCTCTTGTGATAACATTTGTTTCGTTGTTTCTTGTTTGTCAACTCTTATTCTCCCCCCCTCCTGAACTTTTATGTCCAATTAGTGTTTCTCTTTGAGGATTGGAATTCTTTGTGCTTCCTGTATATTATTTTTTTCTAATTTTTTTCAGCTTAAAAAAAAAAATTAAGATGTGTCATTATACATTTATAATCTAACAGAGTCGTAATTGTTATATATGTATATATATATATCTATGTATATCTTGTGAACAGAGACTCTGCATCTGTGTTGTTGTGGTCAAACCAACTCTTCAATGTTATTTTTTGAACAATCAGCAAGACCTGTGTTACTTCTTCATGTATCTCACAGCAGCCTGTGTGCTATAGAATAGAGTTTTTAAGTTTTGTTTATTTTAATTAATTATTTTTTTGTCCATACCTGTTGTCAGATGGTGTGTAACCCTTGTATATTGACTTAAAACAATTTGTTTTAGCATTTTTTGACCCTTTTCCATAAGTGGATGTACATTGAGCAGGATTGCAGAATAAGCAAAACAAATACACAACTTAGAATTTGTGCTCATTATGTTTGGCAGAAATTTGTGAAGCATCCCTCCCCCACACACATACACACAATCAAGAGTGTTTTTTTCTCCCTCCCTCTAACTTGCCACAGAGTAGTACCTTAGAGGTGACATCTTGTATTAATAATTAGAGACATGATATCCTTTTGCCAAATAAAATATTGTTATTAAAAGTATATTTACAGATCTATGACTTATTTCTCTGTCAGTACCAGGTTTGTTTGTTTTTAAACAGACAAGATAATTCCAATGTTACTGGTTTGATGGGGAGGGGTGTTGATGATACTTCTGAAATATTGTGTGCTGTTGTGAAGGACTTCAATTCTATTCTTCTGAATTTACCTCCCTGTCCTTCTGAAATAGGAAATATATTTATACAATCCTCCAAAGGTTTCTGTATTTATTTGAATTAAGTCTATAATGCAGGAACTCCTTCCAGAGAGTGCATGGTATATGTAGATAGTTTTGTTTACAATTATTGTATTACTGAGTTGAGTTGTAGTCTCTTTGTTTTTCAATTTTGCAAAATTTTGTTGGTTACAACTTAGCATTATTTCTATGCTGGTCATTTATTTAGTTTATTTAACATCTTTTTTTTTTTCTGAAAAAAAAACAACAAATTAATAAAAAAACAAAAAAAACAAATGCAAAATTTCTTATTTTATTTACGTGGAAAGTAATGTGAAAGACAAATCTGAGCATTGGCTCCACTTGAATACTTATAAAAAACATAAAATATCACCACTTCTATCAACTGATATGGACAATAACTCTTAGAAGCGAGATAGTGTTGTTAGAAATCAGCAGCTTTAACATTGAGCAGCACACTGATTTCCCAGCATGACAGTACTGAGGACAAATCAATCTCTCAAGAGCCTTCGAAACCTTAAATGTTTATTTATAATGGCTATGATCGTCCCAGTGAATAAAACTCTTCATTTGGAGTCATGTTGGTAAGATAAGCCATTCGGTTAGATAATGAACATATGCTGACAATGGATCCTATGTCCCAAGCATCCTCTGAATCGAGTCCATGATTAGCAAGATCATTAAAATCATTTTCCATTAAGGCTTCACACTTTGTCACCTTTAAAGCAAATCCTAAAATTGATCTCTGCCTCTCATCAATATCTGCAGACTCCCAGTTGGCAGCAATCTGTAAAAAGAAAATAAATGATCAAGCTTTCTTCATTACAGTCAGCCATACAATAAGATACAGATCAATTCTCAAATTCAAAGAAAGCCTTCACAATCTACTTTTCAGAATTATGTTGATAGATGCCCATTGCTTTCCAATGTAGAAAGAGATTGCTGAGTAATGAAGTTTCTACTCAGGCCATTTGAAGTTCAAGTTGTGATTTAGAGAAACAAGATAAAGTACCAGGCCATCTCTTCCCATATGAGCACCTAACAGTTAGCCATCTTCCATAAAAAGATGATAGGCCTATAACATCTCTCTATACAAGATTTTATCTATTGTTTATTGATCAGGAAAAAAATCAATAATCTTTTTCTTTAAGGGGATGTGGTTTATTTATCACAAAACAAGTAAATTTTTTTTTACAGGCATAGTTATAAAAAACCTAGACCTCAAATTTATCTCAGTACCAAACAGATTTTGAATCTACTTGACATAATAAGTCATAGTTTTTATTCTATTGAATACATTCATTGTAAGTAGTTGTCATTCCAAAACAAAATAACTGTTTAAAAAAATGAAATAAAAAGAAATACTTTAAAAAAAAACTTATCCAACGGATAGAAATCCAGCTTTAAGCCATATATGTCAATAATGTAACATTTATTTCCCTTTTTGATCTCAACCAAAATTAATTAATTGCCTCTATTTAATAGACCACAAGGTCTGAAAGGGCAACTTATTTAATTAGCTAATTGGTTTTATGTTTTACTGATTCATGTTTTGTTAGGAACAATGAATTGATGTGCAAAGTTTCAACTTGATCCAAGTATAGGAAGTGGCAGAAATAAAACGTTCAACATTTGTAGCTGAGGGACTGTCTTGGCATAGCCAGTTGATGTAAGTTTTATAAAAAAAACATGACAGTTTAGAGTATTTTAATATTGTTTATGTTACTTAGCAGTGAGAACTCAAACTGATTACATACCTGATCAGCTAACAGCTTGTTGTGTGAATGAAGTCTCAAGAGCCCAGAATGGGATATGATGAAGTATTTACATTTGTTAAATGAGCTGACTGCTATAAATATCATCTCCTTGTCACATCTAGTCAGGTGACCTTTGACACACACACAAAAAAGTTTTTTGAGAGTAAGGCCAAGCAAGAGTTTCAACATTGATGGGACACATTTTATGATAAAAATCTTACCAGCCTCATTCAGATATGTAACAGAGGGAATGTTATATGCCATGTTTTGCAAAGAAGGGGAGTGATTAAGTGCTTGGCTCCGAAAAGTGAGGGTTCTCAAGTTTGATTCCTTGTGAAGACTGGGATTTTTTAGTCTATCCAACACTAATGGATACCTGACATAGGTTTGAGCTGATGGTAGTTGTGTTAATGGACACCATCATTAACCATTGGCCAAAGAAACAGCTTTACATCATTTGCATCACAAGATCTGAAAGGGGTATCTTAACTTTGCATTAACTTTAACAGACGTTTAGAAGAGGATGTGTTATGAAAAATAGAACAACCATTGAGCCTTCAAGACGACATTCCAGAGTACATTAAACATGACTAGACAAACATACTTTTGATATAGATACCTCCAACTCTATCTTCCATGACAGTGTCATAGTAAGCCAAGAATGCTCGCATTTCATTTGGTCTGTGTGATAAAGCATGATAAGCATTAGGCACAAAGCCTTCCTGTTGAAGGAAATTGACATTAAAAATACCCCAGTATATATATTTTGTATCAATATATTTGTCAACTCTAAAACATACACAAAACAGTCCAGCTACAAAAAAAAAATTAAAAAAATTCTATAACTTTATAGATCATACAAACTCACTTTTTCTCGCGTTTCATGTATAAACTTTTTTATGTCTTCTGGCATTTCAGCTTCCTGTGGTACTAACAAATGAGAGGCTGAAGTTTTAAGCCTTTGCTTTGATTGGCCCCTTGAAAAACTTTGTTTGAATTTTACAGCTTTTTTTCTGCAGGAACAAAAATAATTTTCCATTAAAAAAATTTTTTAATGATAATAATACTATATAGAGAGAAGAGGTCAAAAATGTGACTAAATAACTTGAGTTTTACAACAAAACTAAAAGGTCCAGCAAAAACAATGACAAAAGGGTTTTATTTTCAATTTGTATTTTTCCACAAAAATTTAAGTTCCATAATTTTTAGACAACAAGTAAACTTGACATTGGCCATTCAATTTGTGAACAGTGATAAAGCAATTTCAAATTTAATTTGCTATGAATTTTTAATAACAGCAACTTGTTATGTGGTAAGCATTTCTAGCACTCTTCATGATGGACCCAAGTTCAAGCCCTTCAAATGTTCATCCCTTCCATCCTGAAGGTAGTTTTAGATGTAATGATCTTCATATCTGAAGGAGCTTCTGAAACTTATGAAACAAACAAGTGGTTTGAAACTTTCTGAGAGGACATTCATTTATCTGACAAAGTCCTAGTGGGTGTGAGGATCGCAGAGTGAAAAACAAATTGTTATAAACATAATTAAACAATAGAGTTGAAAACCATGTCCGTATAGTATGGTATAGTATAGTATAGTATAATACACCCAATGACACATTTCTAACATTCTGTGAACAGATTCTTATGGACGAGTTACAAGCACAAGTAAACATAAGAACAAACCATTGAAACTGTAAATCATTTTATAGCACAAACCATCCTAGGTAAAACCAGTGAGTATTCCTACAGAACACCACCATGAAAAATTAAAGTTTTAACAGAATGTCACCAGGTCAAACCAGTGTTCCTGCTGAGTAATTACCATGTTGATCCTATTCAGTAAGTTGTGAGAGTGCAAAGGGGCATGGTGGTTGCGTGGTAAAGCACTTGGCTTCCAAACCTGAAGTCCTGGGTTCAAATATCAGTGAAGACTGGGATTTTAAATTTCTGGATATTCATTCATATCTAATAGGTATCAGACTTTATTTGGGGAAAGTAAAGGCAGTTGGTGGTTGTGCTGGCCACATGACACCCTGCTTGTTAACCATTGGCCAAAGAAACAGATCATCTGCCCTATAGATAGCAAGGTCTGAAAAGGGTTCAAGAAGTTTGTGTAAAATTGATTTCCTGTTTTGGTGACATGTCATGGCCACCTTGCTCCCTAAACCTCAAAACCTTCATTTGTGTAGGTCTGTCTGAAAGACAAATTCATTTGGCTTAAAGCTACAATTAAAGCATATTTTATTGAAAAAATTTGGCCAGAGGCAATCAGCAAGCCATGGACAGCTTTCATTTTCTTATTCAGAAGCAATACTTTTAAAATGCAAATTTCATATCAACTTCTTCATCTCAGCTTTTTGCTGCTGATCTGTAATTTACCTTACAAAAACCTGAGGACTTACTTTTTAATGTCATCAATCTGTAGACTAGAGTAGAGGTTTTGATGCTTTGATTTCAGGTGTCTATTTAGATTACTAGTGGCTCCTTTAGGTGCAGACAGAGTGTGGCCACAATGTCGACACAAGACTCTATTCTCATCTAACTTTCTAAAGATGGACCAGCATGCACTCCTTTTCTTTTTTACACCTTCCGGTGACTAATTGAGGGAAAAAAAAAGTCATAACAAATAAATGACTACTTCAGGTTTCTCATTTTAAATTCTCACCAAACATGGCAGAGCTATGTTTGGATTTTAAATTAGAATCATCTTTCCACAAAGAGAATCTAGAACTTATTAAAGAAAACTTTACACTCAAATGTGAACGATGTATACATTGTTTTACTATATGGGGATTGGGGGACAATGCCACAACTCAGTGGCATCACTAGTGCAGGCTGGTCCCGGTATCATCCATCAGGGAGTGACGACACCCAAGTGGGAAAAAAAAATGCACTTAAGTAAGAGCAAAACAATTTATTAAAACAATCAGTGTCATTAACTTCAAGCCCAAACATGTTTTTACTGCGCAATTAATATTTTCGAAACAGAGAAAATGAAACTCACAAGAAGATGTGCATGAACCCAAGGCTATACCAAGAGTAAGGACTAGGAGAGGGTTGCAATGTGACCAAACCATAAGCTGTCAAGGAAGAGGTGACCAAAGAAACAGATGTTTATCACTATCATAGATTTTCTGTGGCAGGGAAAAAAAAAATTATTTTTTTTTCTGTATTTTATTCGTGCATAAAAATATAATTTCTTTTTTTAATTTAAAAATGTATCAGGGGAAAGGGGGGGGGGGGGGGGGGGAAACAGTATGTCTCCCTGGTTGTTAAGAAAATCATCTTTGGCTAAAAACTTTTTAAATTTTTTTTTTTTTTTTTTTTTTTATAGTTTAGATTAGCAGCCGCCTACTCTCTTTGCACTATTTCATTAACCCTCTCAAGACGGAGCATTTTAGCATGTCTTGGCCAAAAGGACGGAGCACTAGACTAGGCACTTCTGTTACAAACAAAATTCCTAACAAATAAACTAATTACTTTACATACCCAAAACTATATATATCATTGGAGCGAAATGAAT